ACTAAACTAATCATAGCAGAAGTCAAAGCTATATTGTTTGGATCAGAAGATGAAGTAGCTGCATCATCATCATCACCAGAAGATGGAGACGGCGTCTTTGTTACCAACGATATCGACTACTTTGTTCGGCCTGTATTTCTCCACCCATGGTTCTTCTCTGCTGGAAGAGGCTGAAGAAGAAGACGCCATTTTTTCAGTCGGCAGAGCAACAAATATATTTGAAAGTGAGAGAGAAAGACAGAAGGTATAGAAGAGAGATGGTTTACGATCATTTGTATTTTTAATTGGTTTCATACCCCCTTTTTAAAATCCTTCAAAGTTTCACCTATAAAGGTGTGATTCTCAGTCATATCTTTTAACTAAAAATGTTATAAAAGTCTCCTAGAATCACATTCAGTAGTTTTTAAAAGAAAACTTGTAATATTTTGAATAACAGTATATTTGAAATGAAATTTATAAATTATTGATTGAATAACAAGAGATTGTGAATGATTTTAAATGATTTCTATACATTTCAGATTCAATAACATAGGATTTCATAAGAATTTTTAAAATGACCAATTGAATAACAGGAAATTTTAAGAATACTTTAAAATCTCATAAACTATGCAGTTCAATACACCCCCCCCCCTTAGGATTATTGACAAAAAAAATTATAATAAATATCTTAAAATTTTAGTTATTTATTTTGTATCTATAACATTTTGGTTTTACGCATTGAAATATATTTATTTATGATTATATGATTGTAAAAATATATTTATTGTTTGTTTCCAAATTTTAAGGAATTATTTAATGTCTAATATTGAAAACTATTACATTTGTAATGGGTATAATCTGAAATTTTTGTAAGGTACTAGTATTAGGCAATATTCTAATAACCATTTAGACTTTCAAGTTGGACTATATATAGATAATATTGGATCAAATTTGAAAATGATAAAGAAGAAGATAACAAAATTTTGTAATAGTTTACTAATTAGAACAGTTTATGTAGATTGAGATCTTGTTTAGGTAATTTTGAATATAATTTCCTAAAAAGGAGCATATGTTAATCACCATTACGATTTTAATATCCACCATTAATATAGATTACTATAATATATGCATGTAATATTAATGTAATTTTCTAAATAGTGGGATAATAAATCTCTGGAATAACGGCATTTAATACTAATAATAATGCTTAATATTACCATTTTCAGAATTTTCGGAATTAATTACATAATACTTAATGGATTATGATTATACCCGATTTTTGATCCAAATTGAAAGTATCAATTACATAGATTTCAGGTAACTTTGGCATATATTTCTATTTTGATTCGACCCATTTCACTTTTGTACTTTTCTTTTACTAATATAGAGATTAGGTCCATTCACTATTTAATATTGGGAGAATGTGTACGTAAAATGTTTGTGAGAGATAGTGTGAGAGCATCTATGTGTGTAATAGAAAAAGGGAGATTACAAAAATGGGTATAGTGGGCAGTGAGAAAGAAAGACTCTTTCGGTAAATAAGGGTATCTAGTTGGGCCTAATAATTGTTTTTTTTTAATTTAAGGCCCATTTGTATCTAAGTGTTACGAACTACAAGGTTATTAGAAAATGTGTTACGAACAACAAGATTACTAGAGTACGTACACAAAAAAGGGAGTTCAAATATATCACAGTGAAATAATGTATTATGAATACTACGTCTGGAGGACGAGTTCAATAATGGGGGTAAGTGTTACAGTTGACGGATTCTGTATTGGGGGTTTGAATTTTTATATGTATCCTACATCTTTGGGACGAATTCAAGATAGGGGCCTAAGAGGTACGATTCATGTCAGTTGGAAAGCCATGCACGTATTCTGTAGTGAGAATTCGAATCTACGTATTGGATAAGAATTGTATCCTATATTTGGAATAGTACATATCAACAAATTATAAATATAATTTTCTTATTAAACCCTTAAGTTTTAAGACTAAACCCAGCCAACATATAAATTTGAATCTAAACCCTATGTTGCATTAATCAACCCAAACTTATCTATAAGCTACTTGATAATAAATCCAAAGTCGCATTTATCAACCCAAATATATCTATAACCAAATTTGATAATAACCATAAGTCGCATTAATCAACCCAAATATATCTATAACCAAATTGATAATAAACCCTAAGTAGCATTAATCAACCCAAATATATCTATAACCTACTTTACAACATGAAAATATGCATACTAAACGAAGTACGAACACCGAAGAAAAATACGAACACTAAAAAGAGAATTCGAACACAAGAATGGGAGATCGAACACTAGAAGAGGAGTATGAATAACAAAATAATATAATACAAACATGCTAGAAAGTATGAACACTGAACATGGAGTACGAACATATTAAATATTAAAAATAAATTTACATATTTGCAAAATGTATCCAAATTGGTCTTTTTAAATTGAAAAAAAATGTTCTACAGATTAATATCATATTTGGATAAATTTTTAGATGAAAAATTTGTGATAGATTGGTGTTTATAAGATTTAGGAAATAGAAGAAAAAGAAAGAAAAATTAAAAATCAGGAAAAGGATATGGGGAGGTGAGAAATTTTGTGTTTAATGGCATAATTGTGAATATTCATAATAGCTGAGAGCAAAGAGGGATCACAATATTTTGTGTACAATTGAATGTGTTGTGTTTGGCCAATAACAAATAGTGAATGGTCCATACAACCAATTACTTCCCCAAAAACTGTCCAAACCACCAATTACCTCTTTTAATTTTCGGCTTGGTATATAGTGACTTTTGGTTATGCATGTCAATCGGGCTGGTCGATCCAAAATTTGTAAATTCCGATTGAAAAAAATCCTATAAAATTGGATAAAATTTAAATGACTTTAGCTAAATTTTAACATATATAACAAATAAAATTTTGGATATTTTGATTATTTTAGGTATGTAGGTATAAAGCTAATTGATATATTCAAAATTATTATTAGAATCTTGGATAATTAAAGGATAGTAATGTTAAATATTATTAATATCTTAGATATTTGTATATTTTTCGGTTTTATGGGTACCTGTTTGGATAACGGGTATTACCTTGACCGTAACCCGAACCTAAAGATTTAGCAATATAGAACCCAACAGAGTTATTTAGGTATACCCGTATCCTACCAGCTGAACCGGTTTTTTGGATCGGTCCCGTGTTGGGTATTCAAGTTTGGTTTTTTTTTGTCCAACCCTATATGGACTTTGGTTAAAATTTGATAGTTTTTTTGGAAAAAAGTTGTTTAAGCTGAAATGGCAGTATCAAAATTAATATATAAAAAAGCTTAAAAGCATGACAATAATTACATAAGATAAAATAAACTTACGTTTGCTTTTAGTATCCATCGATATTCACATAATTTGATGTCTTTTTTTTTTTTTGACATTTTCCTTTTTTTTTTTTTAACACCATTTTTTGACATTATCCTAATTTGATGTCTTTATAAACCATTGTCTCATACACTCTAATGTATACTAGAATGCGGAAAATGAGAATCTACTGATTCGAATCGTGCGAGGCCCAGAAAGAGGCCGACACAAGACGTCGAGATTTCCATCCCAAGACGAGCCCATTGTGGCCCAATTCTTCCACTCTATAACCATCGTTAAACAAGCTCAAAAGAAGCTTTGCTTGACAACGGTTGGCGAAGCTCACTTCCATGGGTTCAAACCCATTAGTCTCCAACCACTGTGGCCACGAAGCAAAGCTTTCGACTTCTGTGTCATCAGCAGTGATACGCTTTAACCAATTAGCAACCCACGGACCGATGAATACACGCTCAACGAAGCCACGTGCGGGGTTAGTGATTGAGAGGCCTGCCTCTAGCGAGTCGAATATGGCTGAGAACTGATGTAGCAAGTCCATAAAACGGTTTAGGAAACCTTGGTTTCCCATGAGACCAACTTCCTCGTGAACGAGAGTGACAAGTTTCGGGTTTAGAGTTTTAGCTTCCAGTAAAAAGGAAATGACGGAATTGGGTGTTTGGTGGCTAAACCGAGGGAGATGCAACATACAATTGATCACCATTGCTTCTCCTCTTACCAGCTTTAGAGACGAAGTGTTGAATGCATCATTTTCCAGTTTACAATGGTGGAATGAAAACGGCTGGCCGATAGATTCGGCGAATGTAGTTAGACGCCGCCCAGCTTCTTGGACCGAAGCAACAGATTTTTTACCATTGGTGGCTCTTGACAAAGCCGTGATCCTAAGATGTTGGGCTGATGTTCCTGTGTTTCTAGACAGCAAGGCCTGCATCAATGATGCCCACTGAACGCCTTCAGCGATATCGTAATCCACGATATGGATCCGACGTTCATACTTCACAGATTCAAGAATAGCCTGTGTGGTGGTGAGGTAACCGAAGTTGACATACGGAGACATGTTCTGCAGCATTTCGAATGCCGAGATCACATCAGCTTGATCATAAACATCATCACGGTGTTGGTTGGGACGCAGAACATTATCTCGTTCAAGCAACTTTGAAAGACCGTTGGTGAAGTGAGCAGCTAATCTCTCCATGTTCGTACTATCACCAGGAGAAACCAAGTCCTTAAGCCTTGCAAGTATAACCCGAGTTAGCTCCCGGGACTTGTTGACACCAGTTGATGCCTCCGCAGCAGCCACAAGTAAGTGAACCAACCTCAAGCCCTTTGATTCATCAATCTTAGGCTCCTCTACACTAACCCCATCAGCAACAGACAAACCAGTGGATGCAGAGTTACAAAGTCCCTCCTGACCAAGAAGCATTGGAGAAGATTCCGATTCCGTCATGACTCCTTCATCACCCATGATAGACTCAATGACATCGCGGAAGTCACAGTCCCAATCAATGTCAATATCATTCAAGCTATAACCACAGGAGGAGGTGCTCGCAGCTGCGGCAGTAGAATTGGTGTTGGTAGAGAAGAAGAGGTCCAAGAAGTCCTCGTAAGGATAATCCATGGTCATGCAAGTAATAACGAAGAAACAGGCAATGCAGAATTATATAGATAGTGTAGTAGGACACAAGATAATATTTTAAAGTAAATCTTTGAAGTCAAATCTAAAGTACATGGTCCCCTTTCAGGGAGGTCGAACAACCTGTGGTCCTAGTAAGAAGTAGCAGGACCACTGTGATCAAGAAAGAAAAAACAAGTGAGAATTGTTAGTCCAACAATATTAATCCATGGCTTATATGTACTACCACTATGATCAACTGGGAAATTAAACAAAACAAGTGAGAATTGTTAGTCCAATCATACTAATCAGTGCTTTTAAAAATATTTAAAATCGGTGCTAATCTAACCGACAGTTTAAATTAAAATAAAAGTGCACGGACTGTATATTTATTTGAAAATGCATATAGCCAGATTTGCTTAGCAGAGAGCCTAAGCGCCAAACAGAAACAGACAAGAAATTATTGAGATTTGGTTTATATCTAATCAAATCATTCAAGAGACATCACATCAAAGACTAATTAATAAAAACTCCGAATCGTTCGTAAAATCCCCAGACCACTTATGATTAACACAATTGTAGACTAAGCAAACAGCAGAACCTTATCTTTCTCATCTCTTATGACCAGTTTTGGTTTGGAACAAGTGACAGAAGCAGTGACGCAATTATCTTAGTTTACAAGTTTTTTTTCTAGCTAAAATCTAATTTTCACATATGTATATAACCAGACATTGTCAAATCTTAAGAACCAAATCCTACAATCTTAATCAAATTGAATAAAGGCTTGCTCTCTTATATAGTCAGACGATTATACATATTTATATCGTAAATATTCAAGATACATCTAGCTAGAGTCATTTAACAAAGTCATGGAGCCCATTTTGCAAAGATTTAATAATAGAATCCAAAAGGTTGGTTTGTACCTTGATATTGTTATATGTCCTAATTGTTCACGCAGAGGGTAATCCTTTCTTGTTAACTGTGGCGTGAACCGTTCTGGCAGCTGCAACTGCAGAGTCTCCTCGTTTCACTATTTTCTCGAGTTCTTCCACCTTCTCTGACAACGATCTAGCATTCGTGGTCGTGGCCTGGACCAACTTGTTTGCGGTTTCTAGGGCAGTGCAGAGCTGAAAATGAAACATTTCATTCTTGAGAATCTACAAAAACATTTCATTTGCATTTTTCTCTTCTAAGAAAAAAACATATCCACAAAGTCTCTTATACATATAGTCTTAAGCTGAAATTGACGGGAGAGGAAGTAAAATGATTAATCTACTTGTATATCCCTTGACAAAGCATGGAAACATTTCAATTACATATAACAACATATATGCTTCAGATATTGACATCACTTATCATTTAGTCATTTCGTACCGATTTAAAAGACAAAGACTTCTTTTGAGAAGAACACATAATAAAACATACAGAAATTCGCATCAAACCATTTCAATACCATTCATGTCCTTTTATTGAAATTTCACAAAGTATTTATAAAATCTACAGTATGGAAAGACCTACCAGATAAAAAAAAAAAAAACCACAAGACCTAGTTCTCAAATGAAAAAGCTTTCAAATTACCTCCAATGTTAGGGAAGTCCATGAATGATCAGAACCAGCAAACGCATCATTTAGTTTCTCATAGTTTTCCTGAAACAAAACAACCTTTTCCGTTATAATTCTGATATCGTAAACTCGCCTTACAAAAACACTAGACTAAGAATTACATCCATAACTATGCTAATCACAGAAACAATGATAATAAGAACAACAAAACCAACTCGTTCCTTTAATGTGATCCGATACACTCACAGTTTTCAGATTTCAACAGTTCCAATTACAGTAAAGCTCTTGAACAAGAATATTTCAACATTCCTCAATCAGATAAACAATTTTCAAATCCACATTGATTCTGACTAAGAACATTCTACATACCCTCTTAACAATAACGATGCATAGAAATTGAATATAACGACGGTTCCAAAATATTCTCAGGCGAAGTTCACAGTGATGAATAAACAATGCTATAGAATCAATGAAACTGAAGGCAAATTTTGAGAATCAGAAGAGTGACCTGAAAGACTCGGGATAGATCCAACGATCCAGAGATGGCATCATCGAAGTATGGTTTCGAAGAGATTTCAAGATTTGTATCCTTCACCGGTGAGTTGCCGGTTTCTTCGCCGAGATCGGCGAGAAGATCTCCGATTGAAAGCAACGGACCTCCGACTCCTTTCATCGCTTTCTCACAGAAGTCGGAAACTGAGAAAAATCTCACAAATTTTGTAGTTTGTACATTAATGGGCTTTGTCCAAAAAAAAGAGTACATTAATGGGCTTTATTTTTATGGGCTTTATTTTTATGGGCTTCAGGCAATGTTTTAATGATGTTTATAGTATTATGACTTATCATACCATTTTGCGTAACCATCTCATTATATCAATAACTTCGTATTGAAGTTTTTATTAAGCTACTACAATAAAACCCCAATAAGTTAATATTCCGTAAATTAATAAACATTATAAATTAATAAATTTGGCTAGTCCCGAGTCAGGACAGTGTAAAATTTAACCAAAATCGATAAAATAATAATTTTTTTGAAATTTCCTTGTAAAATATAGTTCCAATAATATCATAAATTAATAATCACTCTATATACACACACATATATATAGCACACACGTATATATATAAGTAGATATATTAATATATGCTTTTAGTTTTTTGCAAAAATGAATTTTCTCCTTCAGCTAATCTCTATATAAAAAAAAATAATGTTATATTTTTAAATTCTATTCTCGCAATACTTCATAACATGTCATAAAATAACTAAAATATTCATCATGTTTTCAAATTCTAAATATGAATGATATTTTTTTTAGATTTATAGGATGTTAATATATAAAAATTGAGGTCATTAATCATAAATTTGAATTTATCTGTAATATCTAAAAGACTAACCTTATTTTTGTAAATTATATTTTCAAAATATTTTAACAATTAAAAAATACCACTATAATTTAATGATTATTAATTTATACTATAAATGATTATTAATTTATACTTTAAAATAATAAATATTAATTTATAAATAAAGTAATATCACTATAAATTAATATAATATCGTGGTTCCAATATTATTAATTTATAGAGGTTTTACTGTATCTTTTGTTTTCATCCCTACTATTAATCGAGAAGCCAGTTTACAAACCATGATGTTGTTTTGTCAGAAAATCATATCACGGTGCCATTGGTTTGAGACTAATTTTAATGATATGTTTAAAGGATAAAAACGTAAATATGCATATGTTGGAAATGGATAAACGCACAATGATCTGTTATATTGTTTTCAGATCTTTGTGTTCAATCCTAACCGTTTATAAGAAAAATAAAGATTTCGAGACTTGTAGAGTTTTGAGATTATGTGTGTGCTTCATACTTTATACTGCCTTCTTTTACTTGCACATACGTTGGTTTTTTACGATTCTTTGTGGGTTATCAATATAAATGTCCCGGTCAATGACTTATTTATTAGGGATAACAATATCCCACATTGGAAGTTGAATATGATCTTAAGTGGTATATAAAAGATATGGGTCTCTCCATTCATTGTCAATTGGTATTGTATCAGAGTTCGGTCCACATATACTCAACCCAATCCACAATCGGTTCGGCACAATAGTTGGCCAGATCTATGGCTAAAAGATCCATCATCTCGAAGGGGCGTATTAAGGATAACAATATCCCACATTGGAAGTTGAGTAGGATTTTAAGTGGCATATATATATATATGATTTGACCCTCTTCAATTAGTTTTAAGTTGGAAGTCCACAATCTAATATTATTTGTGCTTAATGCTAGTAATACACGAACTGTAGTTATCTTTGCCACTAAATTAAACATGATACAAAAATAGAAAATAAATTATGTAAACAACATTTTGTAGTATTTGAATCCGTAAGTTTTTTGTATAGTACGTAGTGGTCTTAGTTGTTCTAGATCTTCAATCCTCAAAGTTTTTTACAAAAATTCCTCATTCAAGCTACGAATTCAACATTTTCAATCATAATTACCAAAGTACGACTTTGATCCACTAAGAAAACAAATCTACTAACATTAATAAGCATAAAACAAAAACAAAATATAAGTCTACAATTTTCCAATTTAAACCGAGATTCCACAACAATTTCATTGGCTATTAATGTATACAATGAAATTCTTGTCATATACTATTCTATAGAATATGAAAAAAAAACCACCATTAAGTGAGCTTTAATGGTAGATGACGAAGAAGATAAGAGATATGAGATTGGAGAATTCAATATCGTAACTTTTCAGGAGATTTGGTCTTACGGATATGAGATCTTCAAGACAATAGTCGTGGAATCGTTCAAAGAGGGGCTCCTTCAACTACCTAGCCACATTTAAAGTGGATCTTACGTACTCACGTATGATATTTGTGATATGATTAAGCTCTAACCTCTTGTTTTCACTAAGTTTTGCTAGGGCTTTGAAACTTGTGGGAGGAAATTAATTTTACATTATTTACAAGAATGACTTAGAAAGTGATAATGCAAATAATTTGCACCGATTGAATTAAATATTTGCATTGAGGATTGTAGCTGATGAAATGTGAATCAGTTTTACAAAAATGATACTCCCTTCTTTCTATAATAGATGATCTTTTGAGAAAATTCACACATATTAAAAAATTATTTAAGTTTACTTAATTTATAGAATAACTTCATTTAATATCTATATAAACACAATTCAACCAATGAAAAACTAATATGTCGAATATAAATTGTTGAAAACAATAAAATCTTATTAATTTTGTATTGGTTTGTGACAAAATCATCTAATTTTGAAAAAATAAGGCCAAAATATCATCTATTAAATAATGGAGGGAGTACTAATTTTGCATCAGTTAATACAAATGATTTTAGTATATGTTAGTGTTCTAGCAATCAATGCTACATGGTTGTTCAAGTTTTTTATAATTAATTTTAAATTTAATTAATTTCATAAGTCTTTTAATCGATGAAATTTTTTAATATTATTAATTATATATAGTAATATTTACGTTTACTATATTTTATTAATTAATTAAAATAATTAATTGGTGTTGATCAGATTATTTTACTCATCTAAGTATCTAACCTTTGTTTAAACTTATTCTAAAATGATAAGTTTTTTTTATAGATTAGTATTATTTTTTTCTTAAGCTATCGTGTCGGTGTAGGACTTTCCTAAAATTAAATTTTCATCACTTATTTTTTCAGTAATTTTGTTAACATCATTTCTTCAATGTCCTAGAAGATTAATTGAAGCCAATTTTCATTTTGTGTCTTTTATTGTCAAATGATACAAATGAAGATTTATTAATACCAATGTAGCTTAGTTGATGCTAAATACTTAATTATGGAATCATTATTTAGCCTCAATTAAGCTAAATTGGTACTAAAAATAATTAATAATGGAATCAATTATAATTGATGTTAGGAGCATAAAAAGAAGAAGGTTTAGGGTCGAGTTGGGTTTTGGCATGACAGCTTGGTGGGGCTGGAAGTGGAGGTGTGGTAATGTTTTTGGTGAAAATAAGAAATGCTGAGATAGAGTTCAGTTTGTGAAAGATGTTTGTGAAAGGTGTATCGAGTGCATTCTAGAGAGATGGTGAGTTCTGCTGCTGGTCCCCGGCTAGTTAGACAGATTGCTTGGGTTCCTCCGAATGCGAGCTGGGTGAAGTTGAATACGGACGGTGCTTCACGAGGTAATCCGGGTTTAGCCACGGCATGAGGAGTGTTACGGAGTGAGGATGGTAGTTGGGTGAGGGGTTTTGCTCTTAATATAGGTTATTGCTCAGGCATGTTGGCGGAACTTTGGGGGGTGTATTACGGGCTGTATCTCGTGTGGGAATTGAAGATTCCGATGGTGGAGCTCGAGGTGGATTCAAAAATGGTGGTGGAGTTTCTTACGACAGGGATTAGTGATTCTTATCCGTTGTCTTTCCTAGCACGCTTGTGCTACGGCTATCTTTCGAAGGACTGGAGTGTCTGTATTTCTCATGTGTATAGGGAAGCTAACCGCCTCGCGGATGGGTTAGCGAACTATGCGTTTTCTTTACCTTTAGGTTTTTATTGTTTTAATGTTGTTCCGCCGGATTTGGCGTCATTGTTAAACGAGGATGTTGTTGGTCAGCCTCGGCCAAGAAACGTTATTGTATGACTTTTTTAATTTTTAATAAAACATAGGGAGGCACTAACTTCCGTCAATTTACCCCAAAAAAAAAAGTGTCGAGTTGGGTATAATTTTGTTCTATTATCAAATTTAGATGGTTAACATATTAGTTGAAAAATAGTAATTGTACAAAGTTGAGTTTGTACCTTTCGAGATTGCAAAATATGATTCTGTGTAATCAGAGGTTTAAGTTTTTTTTGTAAGGAGATAATTTGATTTAAACTTGATTTTTTTGTGAAGATAATAGAGAAAGTTTCAAATTTGGGTGGATTTAAAGCTATATGAATTTTATGAAAAAATATGATCAAAGTCATCAATTTTTACAATTTTACTCTCCACCTCTAGAAAATGCAAATATATCATACAGATCAAAAATAATATGCAATATAACATATATTTCTTAGTGTCAAGTTTGTAAAATATTAATAAACTAGGGTAAACAACCGCGCTTTGTCGTATCAACCGTCGTTGCATAATTTTTTTTCTTTACTACTATTAATAATTCCTAAGCTAGTACCAAATTTTTAATCTTACAATGAATCATAATTATAATTCCAACTCGTAACGAAATTTTTGACAGTGAGATTCAATTGTTGTCGCGATTTATTGGTGGTTTACGTCCACCACTGTAGAATGTGTTGGTACAGTTTGACCCTACAAGCTTAGCAGAGGCTCACCGTCGAGCTTTGGCTTTTGAGCAACAATTTTGCACTAATACATCATGGAACAACGCCAACCGTGCAAAGCAAGTAAGTTATGAAGGGGAGTCCCGCTTCACTTCCACGTGAAAGCAATGACTACACTAAAGGACCGGTGGCGACGATGGAGAACCCGTTGCCTCGATGTTCTTCACAACCAAAACGTGTTAAAGGTGTTTTAAGTGTGGTGAGCCGGGTCATTTGATGACGGCTTGTCTGCAAAAGCATAGGCGTGGATTATTGCTTGTTGAGGAGGCAAAGTGGGATGACTATGAGGACGAGGTTGAGGATGGAGATGGCCCGTTACCAAAAGAACGTCATCTGGGAGAGC